ACAACCTCCTTCAAGTGTTGTGTTACTTTTGCTCTCTTATTAGTATGTGAATTAGTATTGTTATTGTAAGGAACCAATACTGCACACAATTACAATTGTAAACGAAAACGCACAACAAGGTTACACTAATGCTTACAAATTGGTGCTTCATCCTTTGAGCATTGTCTTGAGGAAACCGTGGAACTTTCATCTTCCAAGATATCAAAATTAAAGGATTTCTCGCTTAAACTATCTGCGTTGACCTAGTTTCGTTTCTTTCAGCAATTCAATTTCCAGTAAATCGAAATTCGATACAATTCCATCGTTTTGTAATGCTTATCGATTCATCGAGCACATCCGTTCCCTCGTTTCGCGTTTTGGGATAATTAGGGGGTACCAGAAGCCACGGGGATTCGATACCGATGAAACAATGAGGTTCAGTCAACAAGTAATTTCCAATAGGTACGTCAATTGGTACAAATTGTCACGTAATAACGAAATTGTTACCGCTGAAACGACAATTCTGGAAAACAAACCTGCTCGTCTGGATTAGTGTTCTCTCGCGCAGAATCGTTCAAATCAAAGAACGATGCAACGAACAATTGTGGAAATTGTTGCAGAATAATTACTTTTTTTTTTTGTATTCTGACGCCAAGTTATTGGCTGTTTCAAGTCGCTACACAGACATCTGGACGGAAATGGGGTTTAGAAAGGGATTCTAATCCTCTAAATTATTGATAGAATCTATAGGCTAATTATATTTTGCCTACAAGACTTTCATCAGACTTTCATAGACAGAAATCAGCTTGATAATAGAGGATGGTGAAAAGTTGTAGCGATTTTCAGTGTATTTCCTAGCAAGTTTCTTGGTGGATCGTATGAAAACTCACGTTAGTGAGAGAATTAAAACCAAATCTCGATAACGTAATCTGTAGTACGTAGTACAGGCTGAAGACTTCTGAACGTACCTTTTATTTCAATTACATAACTTTTTTGGAGTCAAGTGTTAACTTTCCTCAATGGGCGGAAAGTATGAGTACAATGCAAGGACAAATTATAGACAAAGAATTCATATTATTTTCCGAGTTCCAACAATCCCTTCTGTCATCTGTGTCTAATAGTTTTCTATTAACGTAGAGTTCTATAGACAATTTATACAATGTAGTCTAACAGACAGCATTCTATCGAAATACCTTACAAAATTGTAACACAGAGTTCTTCTAAGACTACACGACCAATATATGCGGGCAACGAAAAATCATTTGTATCGTCAATTGTATTTTTATATCCACGCCATTAATAAACATTCTGCACGATTGCCGTGCAATGCAAGTTAGGCAACTTTATTCCGTGACCAAGTATCCTCAATTCTAGGGATTAAGTTACATTTACTACTTTTAATCTATATAGTCTAATGGTCAATTCCCAAAGCATTTCATGGGCAATGTCGTGGGAAAGAGACAACCTAAATACAATATCGATTTTGGCGATTCTGGCATCGTTCAATTATGCTAATATGAGTTCATTTCTATAGAAACTTTTAGAGAAATTTCTGAAAAGGGTTTGAGTGCCAAAATCAAACGTTTCAACTAAAAATTCTTAATTGACACTCGGTCTCCTTTATATTTTCACTCTACTGCCATTACTCTAACAATGAGACTGTACATGACATTGACTGCACCTGACTGACGATGAGTAAAAAGTGTAGCTACTTGTTAAAATATAGAATTGATGAAGCAGTCTTACAAAGTTTGCTAACTAGAAATTATCACAAACACAGGGACCAGCAAATATACTAAATGGATAAACAAATGGAACTGGTTAATATTACGTTGTTAATAAATTACATATTTGTATAAAATATATATAAATATTATAACATATATTATAAAGTACAATTATATTATAATATTATGATATATATATATATTTTTGATAAATACAAAATACGAAAGCACAGCAATTCCATTAACAATAGCACCTATCACTGAAACCTTAAATAATATTTTAGTCGATGACACCTGTACAAGCGAACAGCAATCCCAAACGTACAGTCCAATAACGACCCAGTTGAAGCTTGGAACGATAACAGGGATAGAATTTACAATTGAAACTTGGATCTTAAATTGGGGTCTTTGGAGTTGGTGCTTACAAGTTCAACTATCGACACGTCGAAGAACTACCTAATTGTTTAACTACGTTATACACCGCAACACCTCGGGTATATTCCACGTTGAATCAAAACATCAAGAATCCTAGCGCACAAAGTACACGCTAAGCTACCGTACGAATCGTCTTCTACGCTAAACCTACCGTAGAACTTGGCGTGAAACTATGTGTACTTCATAGAACTATTAGGACAACTACCAAAGTTCCAATCCAATTACGTTCGAATCGCTCTCGACCGCCCAAATAAAAGAGTAGATGCATAGAAAGCGATAGAAGTTCTTAGAGAATCGTTTACACGTGAGAAATCGAGCGTATCTACCAACGTCTGCGACCTAATCACCGACCGAAACTTCATTCTTGATCTTTATTAAAAGACGACTAGATCACTCCGAAGGTCTTGGAAAGTGTATGTACGTGGAGAATCATGTAAGGATTAAATTATAGATTCGAATAGGATCTAATTAGGCTAACATTTTAGAGAAATTAGTCTTTTGGAACGGTGACTTTCCGAGGAAGCATTTTCGTGTAATTTGCTTAAAATTTAGTTTTCTATCTAAGTTTAGGGTATATTGTATAGTATCATTGTAGAACACCAGGAACTAGACAGAAATAATTAAGTTTCAGAAAATTGGCAAGTTTTAAAGATTATAGAGATAAATATGTTTATGAGACTATGAATATATTACCATATGGTTGGTTAGACCGTGTCTGGTTATTGAAAAGAAAAGCATCTACAAAGGATCATCCAAATAATGTCCACGCTCTTGAAGATAGGAAAAATATTAATTCTTAAATAAATTTCTTATGGCAATACATTTTTGTAATAAGTAAAAGCCTGAAGAATATTTCGAGGTCACTCTATTTTTTTCTTAACGTTATTATTAACTTATACTACATGCTTTCGAAATTTTAAAGCGAACGAGATGAGTATATAGCTCGTATCTCAGCAGATTTGTAGATCACAGTGCGTTCTGTTAGATCTAACAACGCTAATATCATTGTTGATAAATTGTACATTGTTATCCTATGTATCTCGTAAAAAATAAAATCAAAAGTAGGTTTTCATACAACTCGACTACGCAAGCACTATGTACAAGATTCAATGGCAAGAAAAAAATTAATACAGATTGAGAAATAATAGAAATATGTACTAAAATTTAAAAAAATACACAATTGTTTGACAGAAATTAAATAAAAAATACAACATAAAATGTCCCATTTAAATGGAAACGAAAGATTAAACTACAGACTTTTTTTTTAAGTAGGTAAATACTTTCAAGTAATTAAAATAATTTTTCCCGAGAACGAAAGAATGCACACATTTACATTTTCGAGTTATATTTGCATGTAGTATCACTTTTTTCTTACTAATCTAGATACTGCACGAAATTTTATATATATCCTAGAACCGAATTGCGGCAAGAAATCCAATATGCTGCTTTGAAAGCATGCAGAATATTCAAAGTAATAAAAGTACATTGGCACTAGGTCACCTATCTAAAACCCTTAGTAAATACTCTCCAATATATCTTTAATGTTGGAACAAAATATATTAAACGAGATAATGGACAAATAATTAAATTTTCTTTTAGATCAGGATTTTAAGTGACAGAATTTTGTGTAACAGAATATAATGTAAAAACCATGTTCTATACTGATCAGTATTTAGATTATCAATGTTGTATTTTTCATTTACAGCTATTACGAAAACGTTACAGTATATTTATTTTAAGTATACATATGCAATTGTTTCTGAAATTAATGAAGATACAAGAAGGTTGTTCGAGTTGAAATTCAATACAACTTGAATTTGTGGGATGATAATTTGTAGAGATTATGCGAATGGCTATGACTCGTGGAAATGAATTCAGTTTTTTCCACATTCTAAATAAAGAACTACTGTGACTAAATTTTTTGGAAACATTTTGTAAATGATTAAAGAAGAATATATAACATTTTCCAGCAAGATATGTAGAATAAAAATGTTTTCTAAGCCTTAACAAAAGTTAAAATGACACTAAAATCTGGAAATAATTAATTTAAAAAATTACATATTACCATCGGCAGTAAACAACTCCTCCACCTTTTTTGCACCCTCCATAGTTCGAGAAACAATTGCAATAGTAAAATGAAAATGACCATACCGCACTCTTTAGATTCATTAAATATTTTCGAATCATAGAATTTTCTTGCATGACCGCCAACTTGATTTGTCTCAAATACAACTACCCTCAAACTTCATCTTCTATTCTATAACAGTATTACAACTATTCCTAGTAATTGATCAATAAGTTTGCCAAACCAGTCAAAGAGCTTCCAAGAAGAAAATATCAACAGCCCCCACTTTAGAACAAACAATAAGGATTATTGTCGTTACAAAAATCGCAACTGTATATTCAACACATAAACTAACTAATCTTTGAAACTGGTATACGTGCCACGCAACGTAATACCACTAGAAATGATTTCTAACCTTCCAAAGGTAAGAAGAAGAACGCTGAAGCCTACCCAACAACAAAACAATGTTAATATCTACTTAAACGGGCGTCAGTAAAGCTGTGAAGACCTATCAGTGACCTATCAGAGCCTATCGTTTAAGATTTCCGCGATCTGAGAGCCGACAACGGGTTAAGCCGCCGTCTGGGCGTACTCTCGGTTGAAGAGGCGGCACTTTTGTTTTTCGAAGGCTTAGACTTACTCTTCTCCTTGCTCGTCGTAGCCGAAGAGGTTTTCACTGATTTCCCGGACTTACTTGCAGCAGCGTCCGAGCTGGTGCTCGTTGACACTGTCGCGGTTGTGACTTTAGTTACTGTAGTGAGGTTCTGGGATTGGGTTTGGGGTTTAGGGCTTACTTGTACCTCACAGGGTGGTGGCGCGCTCCTGTAAGATGGCACGATTTTGAAGGTGACTGATCCTCGTGCTTCACGCTGCAACAGAAATCGTATTTCTTAACGACGTAAAGCTTTTTACATACAAGTGGAAGTACCAAGTAATAAGCAGACACACACTTGTGTCTCATAAAATCGATTTTCTCAAAACCTAATGCTCCTATCAACAAATTGTATTTCACATTTTTTATATATTAGGTTGTCTCAAAGATTTCTTTCGCGACTTGCCCTTAGTTATTTTGTGTGACAGTGTTTATATAAATACACAAACTTAACGTTTAGATCTTGATGTTCTAACAGTGATTGAGCAAAATGGATTGTAGAGAATTCAGTCATAAAACATAAAATATTAATAAAATGGAAGAAACCAAAAAGGAATCTATGCTTAATTGTTTCGAGTTTGTGACCACTCTGTTCGTCATCTATCATTAACTATACTCACGAGTATTTTTTGCAAGGCATTGATAGATTGATTGGCCACTGATATCCCGTTAATTTCTCTAATCTCGTCACCAACGTGAAGAGTCGCTTGTCTATGTATCATGCCACCGTGCATAATTCGTGCCACCACGCACTTTCCATCTGCGTTCATTTTTAAAGTGATTCCCTGTAAACAGACAAACAATTTCTTGCTACATTATGAATTTTTATATCATTCAGTGGGATATTCTTTGCTCGTGGAAAACACGAGAGGAAGGCACACACAGAAATAAACTTCAGTTGGAAAAGTGAAGGAATAAACGTTACTGAAACTTCAAGGAGCATTATACAAATGAAGTTATTTGAAGTAGTAAACTCAATAATTTCTTCGCCGAGAAGTCACGTCTTTTAATAAGGAACATCGACAAAATACCCGACATCAATTTTTCTAAAACTCTGTGAGTTTGCACATCAGCCAGAAAATAAACAACACGTATTTTCTTATCTGCGGGAATTCGAGTTTAAGGGGTAGAACTACCCTAGAAAGTTTTACCCCTATAATGATACCGTGAAACATATTGGAGGTGTAGGGAAGTTTTTTAATCAAAGTCTACATGGTTTTTGACGCAATATAACGTGGCTATGTGCCAGTGAAAAGGCTAATATAATAAACAAATTGCTTTCACACGTTTCCTTTTCAATGTGTATGAGAATAAAACAGTAGGTTACTTTTATTTGATATTAGCTGAGAAAATTTCTCTTAATGTTTTTACAGAATTCTACAAAGGAATTTTAAAACTATTTTTTTACTCAATCCTACATAATCCTTTGTTGTGTTCAATAAAATAATTTAAAGAAATACTTGAAATTTTTGCAATTATTAGTTCAAAACTATTTGTCGACCTACAATGTTTTTTTTCTATTTAAATTATGATGTAATTATAAGTTCAACGGAATAAAAATTATGAAATGAAATGATATTGTAAATAATTAAATACATTATATAAAATTAAGGGTACAGTGTAAATTAAACAAATTGTATATTGGTAATTCTAAAGATGATTACAAGTAAGTGGTTGGCATACTTAATTTCCCTTTTTAATAAATGAGGCATTATTGCGATTATCTTACCATTGGCTCATCGGTGTTTTTCTGGAACTGGACAAGTCTTACGCGCGTTACGTTTTCGAGGTCCAGATCACCATTCTGTCCCTCGAGATCGTCACCACCGTTCAGATAAGGAAGAAGAGGCGGTGGCGTTACCCTAGTGGCTTCTTCGCCGTAAACTTCGTGTCCAGCTACGTCGTGCGCTTGCAGGAGCGCCTGCAACAAAGAACAAAAAATTGCGAATTAAAACATGCTATCCAGAATAAAATATTCACAAATGCTTAATTTGAAATTTAGTAACGTTGAAAATAGTAAGCTTACCATTCAGTTTATAATTTTAATTATATATTTATGTGTGGCCTGGAGATAAAGAAATATGGCTTATTTATGAACGATAATTAGGTATTTATAAATGGAAATGTTTAAAATAATTTATTTAACTTGATTAGGAAGCCAGCAGAAATTTAATTTCTATCATTTGTAAGTTTCAATATATTTAATAACTGTCATCTTCAGCGCAGTCGGTATGGAACGAGTCCTCGAAATTTCGTAGCTCTCAAGAAACAAACATTGGTGATGACACATTTCATCAAACCGCTCCCTTGATTGCGACACATAGGTCCTTCTATCGTTCGAAACAAGCTATTTGCTCAGGACGTACGAATTTGTGGTTGAATCGTGGCCTTGGTGCTCCAAGTTTCTAACTCCTATCTGGACACGTTCCAAACCGCAAACTTCTGCAAACTGCCTCAATTATACGACTGAATTCAACTAGTTCTTAGGGGTAGTCCATCGCTAGCTTCAATTATACAAATCGCCAAAAGTATCAAGTCAGGCTCGAAAAAGTAATCCGACTTTCAACATGAATTTCATTTTACTTTGGTATCCAAAGTTTTTGCAAGATTTAAATACAAAACTTAATAATTTATCAGTGCTATAAAATGTTAAATACTATCAAATTTTGTATTTAACGTAAACGTTAAATCGTCCTAACATCGTATAAGAAATTACACTTCAATAAATGTTTCAAATATACCAAACATTTAAATAAATATAAGGACAACTGTGTTATAGTAGTGACGGATAAACAATGGAAATTTGTCTTCGCTTCAATGAACTGAACGTGCTTTGAAAGTTTGGCACGAGTGGTAATGGGCGTTCGAATCTCTGTCTTGAAAAGATAGGAAACACTCAAGACTCTAAACTTTTGGATCGCTTCGTATAGTATTCGAAACCAGACGGGTTTCCAAGAGTCTTCAAAGATGTTGAGAAGTTTCGATTCCACTTGAACATCTTTATTGTTCTTCGTAGTCTTAATTAGTCATGAATCTCTTGGTCGAGGAGTCGATAATAAAATATTGCAGTAAACCATTGTTTACTACAGATATTCTTTTGTTGAAGCAATTCGTTTTACGACCGATTATTTATTATGTTTTGCAAACCGACAACATCACAATTTATTCTGGAATATTGTTCTTTTCAGTACACCCTGTATTTTCAGATATTGAGACAGCATTAGAAATTGTAGACTTTGTATTTGTATAAGGATTGTTCAAATAAAGTAATGTTTTCTAAAGTTTTTCATAATTCTATAAGCTGTATAAAATTGCAATCCTATTTTCAATTTTCAATTACTTCAAAATACTCATATAGGATCTTGGTAATAAACGTGCTTGGAAACAATGATGCTCGAGTTAATTAATGGCTTGGCTTCCAGTGATGTTTCTTCATTAAGAGGGTTCATTACCATGTGCCATTTCGATCATCTATTATGGTTTCCTTCAAATACGGTGTTACATTAACATACAGTTACAATCAAATTAAATTTTATGTACATGAAGAAATTTCGAATAAAAAGAGATTTATCAAGAGTCCTTTAACATAAATAAATTTTCATTCAGATATAACTCTATATTAACATAACATAATGCACGATCAAAGTTATAAGAGATGGTAGAAATGAAGAAATGTTTTGATGAAGAAACATTTTTTTGTTATTATATAAGATGTTGTATTAATTACCAGTTTTCAATTTTCGTTAATAATTCATACGTACCTATTATAACGTTTGGAGATGAAAATGAAATAACTGTGCATATTCAGCCATTTATTGGTTGGACTATATATTAATTAATTAATACAAGTACAGATATCTAAGCAATAATATCATTTTACGACTTCCATATAATAAACTAAAATTCATGGAATAAAGAAGAACTCTGAAAGTAAAAACATACTTATGGTTCAAATTGAATATTAATTCATCCATGCACGTACCGATATTCAAGATATAATTCCATTATATAATTATCTAGAAATAAAATAGAATTCACGTAACGGAGTCCCGCAACGTTCTTGGGCTTTCGCAATCTCCTGTTACGTCTAAACATCGAAACGATTCGCATCTGAGGTCACGGATATCGTTCTTTCGCGAGCCCTGTACAAATATCCGCGGTTACAACGAGACCAGAGAATTATCTAATGGCGAAACTGTTGTACTGGTTTCGCTGTGTAAACTATACAAAAGGGAAACAAAACTGGCTAACTTTAGAATGCGGTAATACCAGGAACTGGCTCTTCGCGCTATCGAGTTTCAGCCGTCACGTTCGGCGGGCTCTCCTGGCCCTTTACAATCCCCGTAACGAGAGAAAAGTCACGTCAGTTGACTCGAAAGCGGAAGAAGAAACGGTAGAAAAGTGGCGACAACTCCTTGCTGCATTGACACATGATACGGCATGTCGCGGGGGGTCGGTACGCTGCAAAGTGTCGGGATAATTCGTTGGAACGGTGCCAGTGTCTGAAGCGTGTGACTGATGCGGATACGGCAGTTCGAATTCTTGCAGTATTGGCGGGTTAGCCAGGAAGAGATGTTCCTATCATGCACACGGTGACCCAGCAATCGTGGCAAAATTCGAAGGGATGCTAGTCTTCGAGCAGAAATAAATCAAAAGTCAATAGTAATATTGTCTTCTTTGGCACTTTAATCAATTACCGAACAGGAATGAATTGTTTTATGTTAACAATAAAATGTATAGAGGCGTATCAGTCTTTCGTTCCAATTTTATTCTACTCTTCAAAAGTTATAAAAAGAAATTTGTTTTAAGTGTTTCTACCTCAGTTAATAGTTAAATCTCCAGAGCTATTTTCTACTGCATTTTTATTTCATTTTTCGTAAATTATGAAGAGCAATAAAATAAGTAGTTGAACCTCCAAAGCTGTTGTATGTTGCATGAATTGAATTTTATTGTTAAAAACATGGAAGGAATTATTTCTTCCATACCTCTACACGGATCAATTAAATAATATTCGATTAGACAACAAGAGGTTTTGTTATTTGAATTTCATTTCATTCCTCCTAAAATTGTAAAAATAAATTATAAATAAAATCCTATTCAATTTGAACAATAGATTGGTGCAACAGCACAGAGCTTTGATGAAATTTAATTTAATTTCTCGAAAATTATGGAAAGAAATTAATTTTTGGACATTCGTGAATACATGAATTAATTAATACCATTTGTAAACTATAATAAATTGAAAATTTTTAAGTTAATATATATAATTTTTAAATACAATATGTAATCACTGAGTAGAATACTCGTGGTTGTAATTTTCATTAATTTAGAACAATTTTTTTTATTTTATTCCAAAATGTATATAATTGAAGAGTATACAAATTTACAACTACGAAGACGATATTCCAAAACAATTGCTCATAACTAGTACTCTGAAATCTAAATTATTTTTATGTACATGTAAATTGAAGTCGATACAAACGAGGTCAACGTATCATTTCTCAAGTATCTATACCCAATAAATAAAAAAATAAGAAATAATCTAGTAGCATAACCTCCTATATTAACATAATTATTCTAATATCGAGAAGTCATGTGCAAATTATCTCGCTTATGAAACACCTTTTAGCACACTACCAACAGCTGTAAATAATACTTGTAAACCGACTATCACCGGGGTGTCCACGATCACATTGTATTCCACATTTTTCATTTGTTTTCGCATGAAAAATCACTCTTTTTCGGTAGCGTGACGATTGCTCGAGCACTTCGTGGATGGCACAGGTTTCACACGAGGGTACGAGCGTTCCACGAGGTCGAAACCTCTCTGTTGTCACGCGATAGGTTGGGACAGAAGGAAATACGAGTGTGCGAAATACGTTCGTCCTCGCGCTCGCTTGAAATCGAGCCAAAATCGTCGAATGGCTCGCATTGATAGCCGCGCCACGTTTCTATTTCCCGTGTCCCGCGGACGCCCTAATCTATATGCAAATCCTACTTGCGCGGGAAAGCATGTGTGAAGTGAAACATGCGAGAGAGCACTGATACCGGGGCAATATTAATCTTTGATTCTCGCAGAAGACCTATGGGCGCGTGGATTATGCTGAACGTGCTGGATCCAAATAAAAACCGACGATACTAGGGATGAAGGACGATGTCGAACAATTCCCTAGCAGCGAAATATTAGTTTCAGGCGAAAGACTTGTATCGAAGATTTAGTTTCGACACAAGGATTTGCGATTCTTAGCATTGGGTCATTTTCGAAATCTGTAAAGGTTAATTTACTTTAGATATGAGAATGAGAAATAATAAATGTCTATAGATATGTGTATATAAAACTGTAACGTAACAAAAAGGTTATTACGATGCAGTACAAACAGAGGATATTAACATCTATATAAAGATGTAAATTGCATATCTGAAGATTACATTAACGATAAGCAATGTGAAATTTAATAATAAGTGGATTATCATACGCGAGGGAATTTTAATATAACGCTGAGTTAGCATAAGTATAATGGTTTTACTGTTGTCTAAAGCATGTCAAGCATGGTGTATCGCAATGAACTAATATACAGGAGATTAAGTTTGCTGGGATGAAAAAGTAATTTGATACCTGTATGAATGAAAATGGTGAATAACATTCTTAATCCATATGCACATGTTTAAAACACCTGAATGAGGAATTTTAAGATTGTCGATTTGATATATTTTAATATAACGTTTTCTTCTGAATGTTATTTGTTTTAAGTACATATAAATCTTAAATTACGTGTGTGTTTAAAATAAATAAACACGTAATCTAGGCAACTACATTAAATTGTTCAATTGTAAGTATTAAAACCACCATAAAACGAATTATTCATACACTGAGTAAATTAAATTCGTTATACAGTACAGTCTTTCATAATATTTAATCTA